AACTGTTTTGTAGTCTGATAGGTAAAGAAGTATGTTTATTTAAGCAACCGGTTGGAAAATTAACCAACGAAACTTTATGAATTTTGGCCTGATGGCATCATTGCTAGAGAAACACTAACAACATTGCTAAATGTTCCTGTCAGACAAATATATGCATAAGCTTGCCATTCGGAATCAAAAACTATTTGCACATTCTTTTATTAATATACGACTGTCTGTAAATTACGTCAGATTCGAATAAATCGCATACGAACCTGTTTTCCATCGACTGGCGAAGTTTCGAGAAAACTTCTGTTTGTCTCAATATCAGCTTCATCAACGAGTTTCCCTGCTGCCAAACGAATCATCAGGCGGTCGATGTACGGTGAAAGAATCATGCCAAGAGGTCTGTGAAATGACAAGTCATCGAATACGTAATAATCATCGTTGTGAGTACAGAATAAAGATTATTAATCATAGCTATCATTATGAACTTCATTCATATTTATTTATAAAACGTACAAAAATTATGTCTCCGATGTTCGCGTGGAAGCATATAAGGAGTACGAGCTCTTGAAATACCTTTCATAATGAGATCAAAGTGATTCTAGCGAACAAAATGATGTGATGTGCATCTGGCACTGCAAGTATTCTCACATATCATGGAGAAGAGACCTGTTGAGAAGTGGGTTCTTATGCAATTCGGAACAATGAACAGTGCGATGCATCGTAAAACCTGGTCTTGAAGAAGTTGTGCGCTCTCTAATACTTATTTTTACACATATTCCGTATAATTAGCATATTTTGCCAGTAGCCGGGGACCAGCTGCCGTAGCATACGCAAAATGTATTGCACCATTCTGAAACAATGCAAAACAGTAGCCTTTCGACATTTACGTGGTAATATTTCTGCTTTCAGGTCCTCCCAACAACATTTCATTAATTTTATTATTAATTTCGAAATGAGGCCATTTAGAAAGATAATTACTAGGGTTGCGGAGTCGCACTTCGTTTCAAACACCTGTTTCACATCGATAGACCATAAATTCAGAAAACCGTTAGCTGCCTGAATAGAATACGACTTCTTACATGGCACTAACAATATATGGCATTATCGTCTAACGCAAATACTTCAAGGTGAAAACTTACGTGCTTAAAAGTTGTCTTGGTAATTCAAGTATATCTGCTGGAACCGTCTGACCAGTGAGAAACTGCATGACCGCGTTGCTGAACGTGTTGCAATTGTGCTTCATTAGGTGATACGCGCAGCTCCTAGAGATAAAACACACGAAACTTTTGAAAGGAGAACGAATGACCAGGGCTCGAATCCAACACATCTCGGTTCTGAGCCAAACGCGTTAACGACTGAGAAATCCCAAATATACAAAGACACTTATTCTTAGCTTTAGTCTAATTTTTCTACGTATCAGTTTTACCAGATCAGCACTAAACCTTTGCAATTTACGTCATGGCTTAGGTTCGTACTGAAACTTACGCGATAATGCACCAAAAATGAAATATTATCTGTCTGAACTGATTCGCAAATTAATTTTAGTCCATATGGCATGAATGGATGAGCATTCTGGACGGTAACACACATATTGTACTTAACTATCACAACTTACTGTACCTATCTACTGTATTGAAGGTCAGACATCATTAATCTGGGTACTCTCTCCTTGACTGTGTTACCCCAGATGACAGTGACAACAACAACGCTCTACTGTACTGACAGTTTAGACTAGAATATGGTTCTTCTTTTCCTGGATCTGAATGAACCTCAAATTGCGCGTAAAAATATTACTAACCGGAATTTGTTTTCACTGATGGACACGAGAAATGTTTCGAACGCATCTTGCGTAACTTCTGTCGATCCCATCTGCAGAGTTCGCGTCGGTCGACCAAGGATCGTTCGATACTAAAAATTAAGTTACATGACTGATAGACTATTAGTTTAATGGTTATT